GAATCTGTTTTAAATTCTTTTTAATTTTTTTTTCCTGCAGACTGATGCAGCTCACAGCTGGACTTGTATGGATCTGTATGTGTTTGCAACACCATACAGGATAATGTGGGATTACTACTTTTCTGCTCGTGAGCACACTCTAGAGATAAAGTCATGGGAGGAACCTGCGGAAATGGAATATGTCTGTTTTGATTTTCTTGTAGTTCAATTGTTTTTTTTCTTTCTCTGTTAAACCACAAACTTATGATATTTAATTTCTGTACAATTAGGTAAAACAACACGGGATTTCTGTATTTCTCATGCCATCGGGGATGCTTGGAACTTTTTTATCTCTTTTGGATGTTTTACCTTTATTTTCAAACACCAACTGGGGTCAGAACGCTAACATTGCCTTCCTAGAAAAGCACATGGGGGCCACCTTCAAGAAACGTGCTCAACCTTGGTGTGCAACCATTAGGCCAGAGGATGTTAACTCAGGTGACTTTTTAGCTGTGTCAAAAATCCGTGGTCGTTGGGGCGGATTTGAGACACTGGAAAAATGGGTCACAGGTGCATTTGCTGGCCATACTGCAGTTTGCTTGAAAGATGAAGTGGGTAATTTATGGGTTGGGGAATCAGGACATGAGAATGAAAAGGTACTATCACAGTGCATGACATGCTAGTGAACTTTAACCAAGAATTATTAGGTCTTGCTGTAAGATTACATTCTCCTGAAGACATGCCTATGGGCTTTATGAGGATTTCATATGATATACTTAACTATTTCGAGAAGAATGTTTTTTGTTTCTGATAGCTATCATACCATATCACCTGATGACTGACTGTTGCAATATTTTTTGTAGCGAAAAGGGTGTATTAGTTATTCTTTTTTCCTCTCAACATCAGAATTCTATTTCCCATTAAAATAGGGTTATCTATGGAACAAAAGATCCATGAAAGATTCAGAAAAAGGTTTTTGTCTTGCTGAAATTTCCTGAGCAGAAAATTATGCTTAAGAGAGGGGCTTGCCATAGAAATAATCATTTTTGCTCTCCTTTTATTGTTCTATTTTTATGCATGCAGGGAGAGGAAATTATTGTGGTAATTCCATGGGACGAGTGGTGGGAATTGGCATTGAAGGATAGTTCCAACCCTCAGATAGCTTTGCTTCCACTACATCCTGAATTACGTGCAAAATTTAATGCCACTGCAGCATGGGCGTATGCACGAAGCATGTCAGGAAAACCCTATGGATATCATAACATGATATTTAGCTGGATTGATACAGTTGCAGACAATTATCCACCCCCATTGGATGCTAACCTGGTATGCTTTTTTCACTAAAGTACACATGCAGTCTAAAGCATTGTTTTAAATATCCTCGGTATAGCCTGATATATCGGATGATATACCCATTTATAAGGCTTACTACAAAACGACATGGTCTAAATATCCTTTACTGTCTTTTTGCAATTTTTGGGTGATATATCCCCGACATGATTGATATATCAGTCAATATGATAGCCGATATATTCTTTTATATAGTTTGTTGCAGAATAATATAGTTAGGAAAATTTTCTTTAGTGTTTTTAGCAAAAAGTCCATATCTATGAAATCTTTTAGCAAAATTGTTGTATACTCTTATTCCCAATTAAGTTTCTACAATTGATTGATGATCCTAAATATATATTGTTTACATTTTTGTATACTTAGAATTCATTTATATGTTTAGATTATGATTTGGGACATTATATTACATATGCACATCATCTGATATTGAAGTCTGATACTTAACACATATCCCAGACATTTCCCCTATATCTGCAATCTGATATGCATTTTGGCTGTTCGATATTCCCCTATATCTGATATTTAAAACCTTGCTTTAAAGCAATTAAATCTGTTGGATATTGCATTGCACAACTATTCTTCAAGTGGATACTGCTCTTTTGGATGATTTTTCTTTCTACTGGTTGCTATTTTGATGTTTTTAATTTGATGTGACGACGTCCATGGTGCAACTTTGAAGTTCACATTGTCTTCTGGTTAAATAATGGATCTAATTTACTTGAACTATCAAATAATTGCTCAGACTTACCTGGAGAGATAAACAGGAAGATAATGTCTTTGGTCATCAAGTAGTGAAAATTGGTAAGCTATAATTCTTGATGATAGCCTACCATCTGACAGTGAGATTGAAGGATGCTCTTATCTGCAGCTTCCCTCAAGTTGGTGAATGATAAAAATAATCATCATTTTAGCATCCTGGTTTAGTCTGACTCATCTACTGCATACTTGAACTCTCTGACTTTCAACGCTGCTAGCTAGATTGTGCATCTAGGTTTAATCTTCATATTGAAGATGAGATGAGCATAGTTGTTGGGAGGTTTGAACCAAATAAGGTTTCTTTTTGCTTGGAATCCTTCAACGATCTTTTTCATTTGTTTCCTTGGTGTGAAACCATCTTGTTTCTGCCTTTCCCCCCTCCAAATCATAGACCAAAGCTGAACCTAGCCAACCTCAAAACTGCCATAATGCTATTTCTGCTATTATCTTGATTAGCATTGGTACTCTTTCTTCTTTGTGGTCTTCTGCTGTAGACAGAGAAATTGTTCTCTTGATTGCAAATCTTTACCCTTTATTTGAGCGAGTATGATAGTTGTGTCACTTGTGTGGCATGTGTCTGCTTGCATATGTTTGTTTCAATTATTAGTTCACCCCAGCTTATTGCATGTTCCGCTTCTGTATGTTATATCTGTTAACTATTTCTAGGGATTTCTGTTCAATCTAATTATGTTATTCCCTTATATCAGGTCATGTCTGTTATGTCTATGTGGACAAGATTGCAGCCCTCATATGCTGCAAACATGTGGAATGAAGCCTTGAACAAGAGGCTGGGTACTGAGGTATAAAATCTCAAGTCCTAATGCTTTGAATTTCATAATGATTTGTCAGGAACATTTTATTAAGGATCAATCAGACAACATCATTATAGAAGAATGTATTATAATATGCTTGCCATTTAAGTATGAGAAGAAGATAAGGGTTTAAAATTGTGACCGTTAAAGAGCAATAAAAAAAGGACAAATTTGGTGGGAAAAATCAGAAATTGAGAATTTTTATTGCAATGGAAAAAAATGAATAAATCTTAATGCGAATGAGTCAACAAGATAAAATGATGTAAACAATCTGATCTTTTCTTAAATCCAGAAGTGGGTCTAAGGGGTTTGAAAAGCTTTATAGAAAAGTTCAAAAGTAGGTGTTCAGGAGGCTTATGTTGAGCATTCAAAGCATAGGAATATTTCATTAACGTGCTTGTCCTAAATTCATCTGAATTACTTCTCACTTTAATCAAATTGGTGAACCCAATCAAACCCAAGGCTAACCAACCAAACCAAAAACCAAACTGGATTTTTGGTCCAGCGTGGTTCATAAAAAGTTCGCTCTGCTCCTCACTTTTGAAAAACATTGCAAAACTGACTGATCAGACAGGCACCGCTACGTAAAACACGAAATTATCTTACGTAGGTTACATTAGTAGTTGGCGTCTATTTGCATTAGGTATTTACAAACACAGGATTGCAGCTAAGTTCTCACTTATTTACATGCTCATGCTATTCCGGCAACCACTAATGAGAGTAGTGAGACCCAAAAGATAATCCTTACAACCTTCTCATTAAATTCGTAACATGTATTTTATCATGGTTTGGCCGATGCTGATATGTAATAAGGAAATGCAGTCTCGATTTATAAGTCAGTCAGTTACTGAACTCAGGGCATATAGTTGCCGTAAGAATCTAGCTGTAATCATGTTCCTACTGTAACCATGCCCAAATTTTAGTTCTAGAATATGCTTCTTTTTTTCCATCTCACTGCAGTTGCTTAACAAGATTACTCTAAAAAATAATCCCAGAACTTGATTAAGCATGCATTCTATTTGTATTATAAGTGGTGCGGTTTAAGTTAGAGGCTTTAAACTATCTATTTCCTGTGTTCTTTCCTTCAACTGCCGCCCAGTCCGAACTGTGGTCAGGTTTGGTGGCAGTTCCAAACACCATACACTCCTTGGAGGACAACAGGCAACAACGGCCAGTGAGGAATATGCCAGATAAAATTGCTGGAAAATCATGGTTCCAACAAATCAAGTATCCAGCTAATTCAATCACGGTTTTCCAACAAAGAACCCTGACAGGCCTGATCCTTTGAAATTCTCTCAAAATCACAGTTCTTCTCTGATTCTTCTTATTTTAAATCAGAAACAGTATGAACTTTGAAGGTTTGATGGGGCTTACCTTGACCTTGATGCTTAGATGGGCTTCCTTTCTTTTTATCTTCTTTCCTTTTACAATCCTCCCTATTCCTGCCTCTTTTTTCTTCTTCGCCACCAACCCCGCCTCCCCCTCCTTCCTGCTGTTACTCTGCTCTTCAGAGATACTGGTGTTAATGTGGAGGATAGTGAAGAATGTGAAATTACAAGACCTTTTATTCTTGAGTGGGGGCATCAAATTTGGGAAAAGTCTCTCTAAAGCTTTGACATGTAGTTGCCACCTCATTCTCTTTCTTATCTATCTCATTCTCCAATGGTCACTGCATGTCAAACATTCTAGATTGCACTATTCGTATGCATATTAATCCCTTAAGTGTGTTTATTATGACATCTTTAGGGTGTTCACTGTGCAAGGTCCACAACCCTGCTTATTTTATGATCACGATTCAAAAGAAAAATATGGGGTTAGAAGAAACCAAAACAAACCTAAACCCAGAGAATAAAGATGCGATGTTGGAAGAAACTCACCCAAACCCAAACCAACAAAGCAAATGGTAGTAGTAACTTGGTTACCGAAAGAACAATTGATTACTCATCTCACTTATCAGTAAGATTCCCTAAACCACTTCGAGAGGGACGCACATTTATAATAGAACTGGATTGCAGCGCTTATGTTTCTAGCTAGGTGGTACTAATAATTCACCGAAGATTGGAAGATGTAGCTTTTGCATTTATTTTTTGGTTTTTGACCTTTTCTGAAATCAGGATCTGGACTTGCATGCTATCATAGCTGAGACAGAAAGGAGGGGAATGACCTTTGATCAGTTGCTGACTATTCCTGAACAAGATGAATGGGTATACAGTGATGGGAAATCTACTACTTGTGTTGCTTTCATCCTTGAGATGTACAAAGAGGCTGGGATTTTTGGACCAATTGCCAACTCTATTCAGGTTACTGAGTTCACGGTAAGCACATTTTGACCCGATATGGACTGAGATTCAAATTTTTATCTGAATTGTTTTTTGCCCCTCGAAGTTGAGTCTCTGTAGTTGAAGTATGGTACAGTTTAGCCTTTTTAGAACCAGAAACTATAGGCCTTTTTTCCAAGACAAGGATAAGCTTGTTGTCAGGAGTCGTAAAGATTTTAAAGACCTCAAAAGCTTGAGTCCTTTCTGATGACGGTCCGAAAATTGTCTAGTTATATCAGAGAAAGACGTATATAGCAGTCACTGCAAGTCAAACTTGGAGACTCTGTCCTTAACTCCTTTTGTATTGCTAGTGCTGTTATTAACCATGTAGGAGTAGAAATGACAAGGATAAACTTGGAAGTCAAACTTGGAAAATCTGTTCATACGTCTTTTGTCATGCTAGTGCCCGTTATTAATTACAATTTATGATGCTTGTTGACAGATTCGTGATGCATATATGCTTAAGATTTTTGAGAACAATAGAACACGTCTCCCTAGCTGGTGTAACGCCAAAATCGACGACCTTCCATTCTGTCAGATACTTGGTGAGTACCGAATGGAGTTGCCACAGTACAACACCATAGAGCCATACGCAAAGATGAACGAAAATTGTCCATCTTTGCCGCCGACTTATGAGAGGCCTAAAAGCTGTTGATCTTTTCTATCCGCACCTATTAAGCCGGTCAGTTCAGATTCTGGAGCAAAACTTCCTTAAAAGCTATAGCGCTATCGCGTGCATATTTACGGCCCTCGGTGCTATGGGGTATTGTGTATCTGCCTACCCTTGGGCTATTGGCTATTGTATGTTGTAAGATAGCGGTAGCATGTGTGTTACTGGTGGCATAACTAGAATCTACGGTTCCACATTTAATGTTACTGTTCTTATTATAGCTTCGGTAATAAAATGATATGACAGGACTTTGCTCGCGATTATTGCTCTAAAGAGAATGATTGCAAAATCTGGTGATTGGTTCCGATGTTTTCCATGCGAATACATGGATGAAATGAAGAATACCGAGTACGAGGTACGAGATACAGATTTATCATGCCTCTTCCGCGTTCAATGCTGAAGGCCACGCAGGAAGGACTTTGACCTTTGCCACTCCACTGTGCAAATAAGCAGATAAACGATTATATTTTATAGTGATACATAAAGTGCTGTTTATCACAACAATTTACGCATAACAGACGCGCAATGACTTCGAAGTCAACCAATACACGATAGAAGACCAACCACTCAACTTCCCGAGTAGCGTCTTTAAATTTGAATGATAAGAAAGCGAATTAGGGGGTGTTTGTTTCAAATCCTATAATTTTAGGATATGAATTTCGTCATGGGATTTGAAATCCATAGGTGTTTTGTTATGGGTTTGGATTTTTAAAATGTTATTTGTTTCGTTAATATTTTGGGATTTGGAATACTGCAATTTGTAATATTTTGTTTGTTTCAAGCTTAAATTGTAGTATTATCAAATGCTAAAATTTTGTAATATGATGAATATGTTATATCTTGGTGAGGTTACCTCCCACAAAAAAAAAAACAAAAAAAAATTGGGATTTGTCAAATCCTCTCCAATTGAGAGGTAAGCACACTCATTTATGTGATTTGTCAAAATCCTCTCCAATTAAGAGGATTTGACAAATTCTAAAAACTGGGTATTTTTTGTACTTTTGAGATTTAATATTCTAATTTTTTTTTTAAAATAAACAACATATATGAAATCCCAAAATACAAAAAAACTCACTTTTTGATCACAAAACTTGTAATCCATATCAAATGTCAGAATTTTTGGTGAAACAAACACCCTCTAGTAAATTGTAAAAGATATTTCAATATGGCTTTCATGGCCTTGGGGTTCGATTCCGGATCTGAGCTATCAAATAATAATAATCATAACGTCAAGATATTTGGAGGAAGACAAAAGACCTCATCACCTCGGCTTCGTTAAGGTTATTCGTTATTATTTTTTTTTAATAATTCTAAGGCAATTTCGTGAAATTCACGTAAAACTCCACAATATATATTATTGAACCTCAACTTGGAAATTTGTGAAGAATGCTGCATGTTACAGGGTATCCAACATGTATCTTATGAAACATCAAGAAAGAATAAAACCTATTTCATTCGTATAGTTTTATTGTCTTTTTAATTTAGATCAGCTACGCGGTACTGACATGATATATGCATTTTTTGGTACTAATTATTCAGTGTTAAGAGATGGAATCAATAAGCTGTAAAATATTGAAGATTCAAATATCCAATGCATCCTTTATTAGAGATAAAAGACAGGAAAATAATTTCCATGGACTTTTAAACGCTCGTGATGTCGTTCTCACACAAAACAATTTCCTAACCAGTAACTAATTCCCAATCACAACTTCCCTTTGTCATAAAATCCCCGAACTGTAATAACTCCTCTCACGGTCCCCCGAAAAATTTCACACTCCCCAAACCAACCGTCAGATCTCGAATTCATCTGATGGAGTTTTACTACGAGCTAGAGTACGAGACGCCGCGGGCGGAGGAGGGATCTGTCGGCAGTGTCCGTCTCAGGAACTCCGTCCTCTCTCTACGCGCAACTGCGCCGAGCTCCGTCGCGAGGCGGTCCCTCTTCTGTCACCTCACTTAGGTCCTCGCTTCCTCTCCATCATACTCCTCTGCGTCGTCTCCGAATACTGGCGTCCCAACAAGCCTGTCCCTCACTGCAGGCAGGGGAGGCGGGCGGGCGGCCGGGAGGGACATGCCTCAACTCTCCGGGCCCTAAACATCCGTCGTGCAGAACTGGTGACGACGTATCCATTCGCCGACGAAGCGGCGCGAGTCAGTCGTGCATGCACGAGCAGGCTTCCTACGATCGGATCGAGTTCTGGAATAGTCGAGCGGGCTTGAAAGGGTGAGGGTTTCGTACGTCGGAAACGAGTGGGACGAGGAGAAGCTGAAGGTCTTCGTCGTTCCGCACTCGCATAATGATCCCGGGTGGAAGCTTACTGTCGAGGAGTATTATGAGCGGCAGTCGAGGAGGATTTTGGACACGATTGTGGAGGCTCTGTCGAAGGTGAGCTTCTTTTTTTTAAGTTTTGGTGAGGTGGTTTATGGAATCGGCAAGGTTAAATTTGTGTTTTGTGGTGTTTTTGTAGGATGAGAGGAGGAAGTTTATTTGGGAGGAGATGTCATATCTGACGAGGTGGTGGAGGGACTCGACGAAGTCGCAGCGGGAGAAGTTTGTGAGGTTGGTGAAGGGCGGGCAGCTCGAGATTGTGGGAGGAGGTTGGGTGATGAATGACGAGGTAAGTGCTGTTATTTTTAGCTGAAGTGATGTTTTAATTTGAATGAGATTTTTGGGTTACTTGATGAATACTGGTTGGAAGAATTAAAAAGGATATGATAATAGTTAAACTTAACGCAAAGATGACCCTTAGTAGAACTGAATTAGATATTGTTGTTGATGGTCTTACATAACCAATACTAGTCGTAGAAGAATAAGTTTCATTGCATGACTATAACATAAATGTATGAGGAGGGGGAAAAGAAAAATCTAAAGAGTGACGATGTTTTTATTGCATTGGACCAACATGATGGATATGAGCCCTCTTTTATCAGATGGGATGACCCTATCGCCAACTACATCAACCATCAAACATATGACATAGTGTTTTAAAAATAGGCTGATTTTTTTGATTTATCGCCGATATATAGGGTTTGGCCTATGTCCGATACAATTTCTGCATAAATTTATCGCATAACATTTTTGACTGATTTGTCCTGATATATCGCTGTAAATCCGATAAAGGGGCCGATTTGTCGTGAGTTAAAAACCACTCGATTTTTAACAAATTACATTCTAAGTAAACCTATTCGGGTTTAGAGGTAAAAACCCTCTTTTTCCATACCCACCGCACCCACTAAATAAAAATCATGCTATCCTATTATTTTTTACATCCGCTCATTGTGTAACCCTAATACTCTTTGCCTCCACTGTTCTCTCTCCCAAATCACTTGCAAAGTTCTCACTCGAAGACCTCTATCAATGACCTCTCTTGAAAATCTTCTCTCAATTTTTAATTAAATGTGCTTAGATTACATTTTAGGACATTATATTATATATGCTTACCATCCGATATGACACTCCTTTTTTTACTATTTTCCCCAATATATCCCCGATAACCAGGATCCGTTATAAAATTTGACCATCCAATATATTTTCGGTAACCGATATTTAAAACCTTGGTATGACACTCAAGTTGACCTAATTATATTGGAATCTTAGAATTGCAAATTGATGGATTTTGTGTCTATATGAAAGCTTTTGCTGTTCGTGTCTGTATTCATGTCGCGTCTGTATCTCATATTGCTGTGACCACACTTATTACTTGGCTATGAATATCTAAGCTTGAGCCAACAGAGGTGTTGTTTTCTCAGCCTTTTTGTTTTAGGTTGTTTCGCAGTGTGCTGTTGATCAGTAACAACTTTTCTCATTTCGGCCTTTCACCTCCCTCATTTGTTGCATAGGTGCTTCTTTCTGTTAAGTTCTACCCTATTGCCTCGTCTATTATGAATGTCTCCTAATTCATTTCTTCTTGGATATTTTTGGTTGCCTTGCGCTAATCCTTAACCCAGTCAGCATTTCATCCAATGCCCCTTGCTTCTTGTATCTATTACCGATCAGTATAGTTTCTGGCCTCCTTTGTTTTACTTGGCTCTTGCTCTGATATTTGGTGTTAGCATGGAGGATATTTGCTTCTTTATCCTGATTCATCCTTGAGATTCACCCTACCATCTCTACCGTCTTTCAGATTTTGGCCATACACCCAGAGTTTACATTTACTTAATGGAACTACGTTCAGTCCCTTTTTACTACCCTAGTATTACTCAACCTTTAGATTATCACAAGGCTATACTATATGTTGTAGGCAGTTCTGTGTGGCATCTGCTTAGATTTAGGGAGTTTGCTGCTCTTAATGGGCTAGCGCCTTGTACTTATTCTTTGTCATCTTCACGGAGCCTCATCTCACTCAACAAGCATTATAAGGTCAAGTTTAAGACTTCATTGATATCATAAGGTTCATGTTTGTGGCTCATGGTCAGTTAAAGGTATACATCTGTATAAATTTTCATAATTTGCATTCTGACAGCACTAGTTTTAATACAGTGAATGTGAATTGATTAAACATTTGACTAAAAGTGGTTATGTGGATCTTTTGCTTTTGCTTTTGCTTTTGCTTTGAGTATAACATGGTTCCTGTCCGTGAAACTAGAATTGTGAAAATGTTTCTTTTACTAGGTGCTTCAGGTTGTATATGTAGTATTTCTGACAAACCTTTTATTGACAATATAGAGGCCTCTCTTTTACCTTCTACGCTAAACCACGTTATTGAGGTTTTCCTTAGAAAGCAATATTATTTAGATTATTATCAATTTAGCATTCGGAAAAACTGAACATATTGGAACAACTACAAATATAACTTAATTTCACATGGCTGGGCATGATCTGCAGCTGTATCTAAAATCAGAGAATAGTATAGATTCACCATGGGGGTTTACTTATCATAAATCCTTTCACTATGCATCGCTTTGTATATGACCGCTTATGAATTTTAGGTGCACTTAAATATGTATTTACTCTATGTTTGGTTAGTTAATTTTTCGTTACTGATGATTACACCTTGTGTTTGTATAAGACTAAGTTGTTGGGCATTTCCACTAGCATGCCCAATGAGGGAAAACTTGCCCCATAATCTCCTTTCTGTTCTGACATTATAATATTACTGTAGTTAGCTTTTTGAGAGCATTAAGTTGCTCAATTAAACGGAGAAGGGGGTTGGGGGGTCCTACTGGAGTAATTTACTGAAAGTGATCCATAAAGTCTAAAAGGAATTCTTCTGAACTGTAGGCTCTGTTTTAAATTTACAGCTATCTTGTCCTTAAGAAGTAGTACTTGACTCTTCGTTTCAATTGGGACTCACTGTTATTAACCTTTATCATGCAGGCTAATTCCCACTATTTTGCTATCATCGAGCAGGTATTATTCTTGAGTTTATTTTTAAATTTATATTCTATGCAAATATGTTTCCTCTTTTTTCCTTTTTTTATGATGCAAATTCTTCTACGTTGTTATTTTGGTGTCTTCTTGGATTTGATCATTATCTCTTTGTTTCTGATGATCTTCTGGCCTTGCTGCATGTAAGGTTGACATATTTATTGTGCAAGTTTCTGTTTTCATGTTGTTCAAAGTTTCTGAAAGTTATAGGCTACATATCGGATGTACATTAAAGTTTTTGAGTACATTGATTGAAATAAACACACAAATGGGCATGTTTGAAAAAAAAAACACCTGGATGTTAAAGCATAAGTCATAACATTAACTGAGTTGATTAGCTAGTCTAGAAATTCTAGAAAGGATGAATTAGGTACCTTTAACCTTTCATGGTGTGGTGGGGGGGGGGGGGATGTATTCCTGTTATACATAGTTATAAATTGAAGGATGGACTGTGAAAGCAGAAAATTGATAGGTCTGATATTGTGCATTACTGAGAAGGGAGAGAGTTAAGAAGCCCATATAAATTACAATAGAGAAATGCAATAATGATAAATTTTCTTAGAAGTGTCCATAGGCCTGTTCTCTGCTTTGTCTGGTGTATGTTAAGTGTGTCCATGTGTGCGTGCGTTCGTGTTGCGGGTGCATATTTTTTGTGTCTGTTCATAAACATCGCCATCTAAGCCTGAAATATGGTTGTCAATTGACCACATGACTATAACATGGCAAAGTTCTGCTGCTGCTTGTCAACTTGAATTCAACCCTCTGGAATAAATGCCGAGGTTCTAGTAGGAAGATAGTGCTCAAGATAGGATCTTAACTGTAAAGCACGGAAAGCTGACTGGCTCACAGGAATACATGATTTGTTGGAACCAAGTGGAGCTTAAGTAACATAGGAGTAGCCTTCGAACTAAGAAAACAGGAGAAGAGGGTGGGAAGGTAGGCTCAGAGATGCTAAGATTTCCTAAATGAAGTATGATATATTTCTGAAGGATTGAATCTGGGAAGAAATTTGCATAAAATACTACCCTGTGTTTTTATTAGATCAGAGTGAAGATCAGTCTGGTTCCAAATTTGGTTGTGCTAAGGAGCTTGTATTCTAATTCATCACATATCACATAGATTAACTTATTGTTTCCTATGGTTATGTTTGTACTTTGAGTTTTGTGAAGTTTCCATCTTGAGATACACAGAAACTGGTGGCTATGCTAGGTGTCTAGGTTAAATATTTTGCTAAGAATGATATTTTTTTGGGGTATAAAGTCTTGTATAGTAACAATGTCTTTAATGCTCTTTAGATCTTGTTTTCTGTTAGATAAAGTATGCTGGTGAAATTCTTGTTGATCAAAATATTCATCAAATTTATTATGGTTATGCTCAATTTTAGAAAATTCATTCATTCTCTTGCTGAATATAGTTGCTTCGTTTTATACTTCTTTGATTACTGTGCAGGTTTCATATATACGTGCAGTGGCTTTTCTATCTCATTTATCTATGCTCTCTCTGATATTTCTAGCTCTCCACAACACACACACACACACACACACACACAACATAGCTAACTGAATATGTTTTTTGGTATTAGTGCCATATGCTTTGTATGCTAACTTTCTGAAATAATTCAATTGAAATTATGATAAACCTTTTTTGATTGCGTCATCTGCTCGCACTTTGCTTGTTATGCATGCATTTTAATTTGATATATGTGGGCATTGCAGAAATCAGTTATCTAGTAAATGTTCGATTTATATCAGTTTATTAATGAACTCATAAAGTACATCTATTAGTTGAAAGTTTCAAGTTCTTTAAAAGATTATCTGATACAGATGATGGAGGGAAACCTGTGGCTGAATGAGACCATTGGAGTGATTCCCAAGAATTCCTGGGCGATAGATCCATTTGGTTACTCGGCTACAATGACGTATTTGCTCCGACGCATGGGTTTTCAAAACATGCTAATACAGAGAACTCACTATGAGCTGAAGAAGGAGCTAGCTATGCATAAAAACCTGGAATTTGTATGGAGGCAAACCTGGGATGCTGATGAAACAACTGATATGTTTGTTCATATGATGCCATTCTACTCTTATGATATTCCACACACTTGTGGACCAGAGCCAGCTATATGTTGTCAATTTGACTTTGCTCGTATGCGAGGTTTTAGCTATGAGGCCTGTCCTTGGAGATTTGACCCTGTTGAAACAAATCCTAGCAATGTTAAAGAGAGAGCAACAAAGCTTTTGGATCAGTACAGGAAAAAATCTACGTTGTACAGAACAAACACACTTCTCGTTCCGTTGGGTGATGATTTCCGTTACGTTAGCATGGAGGAAGCAGAAGTTCAGTTCCGAAATTACCAAACACTATTTGATTACATAAATTCTAACCCCAGTTTGAATGCTGAAGTCAAGTTTGGCACTCTGGAAGATTACTTCAGTACTCTTCGTGAGGAGGCATATAGGATAAATTTTACTCGTCCGAATGAGATGGGCTCTGGTGAATTGGAAGGTTTCCCTTCTTTATCAGGTGATTTCTTTACTTATGCTGATAGGCAGCAGGATTATTGGAGTGGATACTATGTTTCAAGGCCATTTTTTAAGGCTGTGGATCGTATATTAGAGCAGACACTGCGAGCATCAGAGATGATGGCTGCTTTAGTTCTGGGATACTGTCAAAGGCATCAATGTTCAAAACTTCCTATTGGTTTTGCCCACAAAATGACAGCTGCTAGGAGAAATCTAGCTCTTTTCCAGCATCACGATGGGGTAACTGGTACTGCTAAAAATCATGTTGTAGAGGATTATGGTACTAGAATGCACATGTCTTTGCAAGACTTGCAGATATTTATGTCCAGAGCAGTTGAAGTCCTTCTGGGTGATTTTCATGACAAATCTGATCCTACCTTATTATCTGCTTATGAACCAGAGCAGACAAGGTCGAGGTATGATGTTCAACCACTACATAAAGTCCTCGATATTCACCAAGAACACGCTCGTTCTGTGACCTTATTCAACCCCGTCGAGCAAACAAGGGAGGAGATTGTTATGGTTATTGTCACCGAGCCTGATGTAACTGTTGTGAACTCAAGTGGATCATGTGTTTCAAGCCAAATATCTCCAGAGTGGCAGCATGATAGCAAGGGAAAAGTTGTTTCGACTGGTCGACATCGTGTTTATTGGAGAGCATCTATTCCTGCCTTGGGTTTGGAGACTTACTATGTGACTCGTGGACAGGGAGCTTGCGAAAAATCTACACCTGCTCAGCTCAAAATATTTACTGAAGAAGACAAATTGCCTTGCCCATCTCATTATGTTTGCTCAAAATTCGAGGGGGATGAGGCAGAGATCCATAATCCTCATCACTCATTGACATTTGATGTAAAAAAAGGTTTGCTAAAGAAGTTAAAAAATAATAAAGACGGCAAAGAAACTGTTTTAGGGGAAGAGATAAGCATGTACTCCAGCTCTGGTAGTGGAGCTTACTTATTCTTACCAAACGGTGAAGCTCAGCCTATTATAGAAAAAGGTGGGAGCTTCATTGTCTCTGAAGGTCCACTGGTTAAAGAAGCTTATACTCTTCCAAGAACTGCATGGAACAAGTTGCCAGTATCTCACAGCACAAGGATATATACTGGCGAGAACACTCTTCAGGAGTTGCTCATTGAGAAAGAATACCACGTTGAGCTTCTTGATCATGAGTTCAATGACAAAGAGTTGATAGTTAGATTCAAGACCGATATCAACAACAGGAAGGTTTTCTACTCTGATCTGAATGGCTTTCAGATGAGCAGAAGAGAAACATATGACAAAATCCCTTTACAGGGAAATTACTATCCCATGCCTGCCCTCGCTTTTTTGCAGGGTTCAGAAGGAAACCGTTTCTCTGTCCATTCTCGTCAGTCACTAGGAGCAGCAAGCCTTAAGGATGGATGGCTTGAGATTATGTTGGATCGTCGTTTGGTTAGAGATGATGGTCGAGGTTTAGGTCAAGGAGTGATGGATAACCGCCCTATGAATGTGATCTTTCACATTCTCACTGAATCCAATGTCTCTGCATTGCCTTCCAATATTCACAAATTGTTATCGGTCCAGCCTTCACTTCTTTCTCACCGAGTTGGGGCACATTTGAACTACCCATTACATTCATTTGTTAGTAAGAACGAGTTGAAAATGCCCTTGAAGCTATCTTCTCCAAAATCATTTGCACCCTTATCCTCTTCCCTACCTTGTGACTTGCACATTGTGAGCTTCAAGATTCCACAGCTTACGAAGGCATCCCATATAACTGAAGACCCTAGATTTGCGATTATATTTCAGAGGCGAGGTTGGGATTCTTCCTATTGTAAAAGGGGAGGATTGCATTGTTCAAGAGTGGGGGATGATCCTGTTAATCTTTTCTACATGTTTAAAGACCTCGCGGTTACGAATGTGAAGGGGACTTCTTTGAATCTTTTGCATGATGATACAGAGATGCTGGGATATATTGAACGTTTAGGAGATGTGGCTCAAGAAGGAAATGTGCTTCTCTCTCCCATGGAGTTGCAAGCGTACAAGTTAGAGCTTCAGCTACAACAATGAGCATATCTAAAAGATTGAACCGGTTTGGAGTCACACATCATTTGCTTGTATAATTGAGGGAAATGTGGTTACACGCGGTGCTCGCTCCCTTCTACAAATGTGAGATTTTGTAATGAACTGTAGGCTGCAATTATTTTCCCTGGAAGGTATTCGAAGGCGACAAAAAAAATTGAGATGGAGAGAGATTTTAGAGCAGGATGGGAAATATTCTTAGATAGGGGGGCTTTCAATTGAGCATCACCATGCTTTCATCCCTTAGAAATTGCGAGAGCGTTTTGAGAGAAAATGTCAACTTTCAATTGAGCATCACCATGCTTTCATCCCTTAGAAATTGCGAGAGCGTTTTGAGAGAAAATGTCAACTCTTCAAATATATCATACAGATATTCATCCCTTAGAAATTGCGAGAGCGTTTTGAGAGAAAATGTCAACTCTTCAAATATATCATACAGATATGTACTTAGGAAGTTAGCCATACTCATTTTTCCATGGGACTACTGTCCTGGTCCCCTGTGCACGGTGATGCCTCTGTAACATAATGTTTCCTCTCTAGGTAAGATGAGATATATTATTATCACATCATGGGCAATATTTCCATCTCCCCGATTTTTGTTAATGTGATAAGTCTGTTTGTAATAATTTACCGAGCGATGTAATCAGTTGTTTTCATACTGTGGTTTTCTGGGTGGTAACTTGACGCTTGTAATCATAGTCTGCAAAAGTTGAAACGATTGCTTCCGATAAATGATACATTGAGGGGCATGCTCAATTGCAGGAGTTCGATGATTAATAGAAGAACAAATTTTCACTATAGACCCAAATGAAGTTTTAATTATCAAAATCGATCTTTTTTTTAATTATCAAAATCGACATGTTTTATGCTACGTAGGCTTAATCTCGTTTCCTAATTAGTCGGGGTTACCAACCCCGACTGTTTAGGGCATTACAAATCGGGTTTTAAGGCTTCTAATTGGGGTTTAACAACTCCTAAACAGTCGGGGTTGGCAACCCCGACTAATTAGGAAACATGATTAAGCCTACGTGGCATAAAACGGGTCGATTTTGGTAATTAAAAAAAATGGTCGATTTTGGTAATTAAAAGTTCATTTGGGTCTATAATGAAAATTTGTTCATTAATAGAAAGGTCAGATGGAATCCAATGACGCGGAGAAGGAACAAAAATTTATTGTCCGTTAAACTACATCCTCTTCAACAATTCCGCTCGTTATCCAGATTCTTAACTTGGTGCCTGTTTGGCAACTTGAGACAAACATGTTCTTTGGGAACAAAATGTTGGATTTTTTTTGATCAAAACTGCTTTTTAAATTCCTCTGTTTAATTCCAGATTTAACCACAATTTCCAACACAAAATTGGCTCAAGATCAATTATGGATTGGCAAATCAATCCGACGAAAACTTAGACCGGTTTTGCTAGGCTAATTTTTGACATTTTGCCAAACTGACCCTAGAGGTCTGCCCCTAAACTCTTTAAACAGAGGATGGAGGTTGTGAAAGAGGTTGCAATTTGCAATATACGAACGAAACCAACCATCCCATAATTAAATTTGCTTATATTTGATACCTCTGAATATTATCGAGGTACCCGCGTCCTTTGGAAACTTTTTGTCATGAAACTCATTGAATCTGAACTGGTTAAATTGATGACATCTAAGGGTGCAAGTAATCCTCCTAAATGTTTACTTAAATATTGTTAATCTCCATAGTATTCCTTTCACTTACATTGCAATCATACAATGACTACGTCTAATATCAATACCTTCAAACTCACCAATACATTCTAAATTCTTTGCATATATAGGAGAATTGCACATATTTATTTCAACACACAGGGCACTTTTAGGTCATGACTGAATACTCTCGATCCATTGCATAATCCTGGGTACACAAGAGTATCATATCACACAAAAAAAGAAATTTGATACAGTTTGATAATGTACAAGGGTGCGGTATATCTTAGATATCTAGAGAGTTGAAGGCAATAAGGTGTATGCAAGTTGCTAATATGTCATCAAACGATGAAAACTGCCGATGAATTAATGAACAAGACGAAACCAGCCTAACTAAATACAGGATTCTTAGACAAAGCCGCCATAGAGTTCTCTCTTCTTCTCTGAAGAGAGGCTTTTGTAAAGACCTTAAGTTCTCAGGAAAAAAGAATACAAGCAACAAGTATATGCATGACTCTGCTCGGCTTTGCAATACATGCAATCTGTAATTAATAAAGAGAAAATGTTGTTAGAACATGAAAGAGAAAGTAATTTATCAATTAACTGAAAACAAATGCCAAAAATATATGACTTGAGTGAAATCCTAGACCTTGCTTTTGATGATACAAGTGCATAATTTCCTACTAAGAGTTGAGAAATGAATGTTTACCTTACATCCTTTGTCATAACACTTCTGAGTCTTAACCATCTCTTGTATCACGAATTCCATTCTTCAGCGTTTTATTCGGTGTGATCTCTGCGATCCCTCTTGGCTGAGGGTTGACCTCCGCTAATGGGTTTACAACGAAACTTTTCTGAAGCCCAACCCGTTGCTTAGGGTACTCTCCACTTTGTTGCTCAGCTAATAAGCGCATACCGGTGATTGTTGGGTTGCCTGACAATGAATATCTACCACCATCTGTTCTTCTCCAAAATTTCGGGCTGAGGAATTCAGCTCCGGGCAAACTGCAGCAGGTTTTTACTGCAGGATCACTCAATCTTCCAGATGATACAGCTAAGTCATGTGAAATCTCATCGAGCACCATCTCCAGGCCGTGGACTCTGTTCTCAAGAGAATGGATGCCCTTTTGCGAGCTTCCCATGAATCTCTGATAACAGGAAAAGAAAAAGGGTAAGTATATCAGACAATATGTGAAACAAAATATGACGAAGGTGCAAAATTTGATCGGATGTGTATGGGGTACCTAAGATACACAACATGAACTATATTTAAAAAACAGATAGCCAAATAAATGTCCGGCCCTTTTTATGTTAAAATAAGAAAATATATAAATTGCATCGCTCATACAGTCATATGATGTCGCGTAGTGCATTACAATATAAGCTTAAATTCACTACCAAATAAGCTTAATCTGCATAATGCATACATCAAGATATCTTCCTGTATAGTTGGATACGTTTTTGGTTACATGGCTATTTCATGTCCACATACTTAGTAATGCTTAGGTCTCTGCTACAGAAAAATGTATTCCTCAACTATTACCAGAACTTCAGTATCCACATGAAGGGAAGTGTTGCCATTTCATCTTTATATGTGGCTCGCCAACTCAGCAGTGAAACATCTTGACCCAAAGTGTGTACCAACATCTTGTGAGAGCTCCAAGAATTTGGACAAAAAGAAAAAGAAAGAAGTATAGCACATCTATATTTTCTCATGCATAGCACTAGCTACTTATTTGCTCTTTATGGTAAAATATACTTCACTTTGATTAGCTTCTTTATTGCTTCAACATAAAGTATTCAATGCTAGCATAACACATGTAGAGTCAAGGTGTTACATGGGCCAGTGCATCAAGCTTTATGACTGAGGATGCAAACTAATTTGGACAATCCACTCCACATCAAATGTCATATTAACTTTTTGAATTTGAATAACTGTGTTTGACAATCCTTTGAAGTGTAGATAGGAATATAATAGTGGTAAAAAACCATAAAAAATCCAATTATGTCAATAATATACGGATGCAGACATGTTCCAGGCACATCAAATTATTACCTGACAGGATATCTTGGTTAAAAAAAAGCCAATTTCACACCATCAGATATATTATTTAGCATTTTTAAAAAGGAGTGTGTAAATTAAGGTATAGCTCGCCTTTCTCTTCAGCTTTAGATATATTTGTTAAAATGTGACTAACATCTAAAATTGGTCCGAATTCATTTTCTATTAGATATACTTGTATCCATATCCTTGTCCGCTAACAGAAAGTATAATATAAATGTGGTTATACTAGCTCCATATTCCATCGAATGCAACCCTAAATGTTAGCTGCTGCATAGATGGCTGGAGCATCCTAGATCATTAGCATATGGGCTGACGATGGATAGGCTGAATCAAACCATCTTCGAACCTATATCCCTGGATATGATTCTGTCCTTGCCCATAATAACCAACCAAGATCATTACCGATATGGATGTAGACCATAAGTTTTTGAAGCTAAAAGAGATTATGCCCACCAATCTCATTCACTTCATGCAAGAAATGACACCAAACTGACCAAACACTCTGCCTACTGAAGAAAAGGAAACACAAAAAGAACACGAAAAAAGAACTGGCTAAAATCATACTTCAATTGTTTTTGGATCAGATTCAACTGATGCAAAGATTTTAAGTGGCAAACTTGTCCAGTAACAGATATCAAACTGGACCACATAGGCATTACCTAGCACATGCATAGAAGTTGAGGATGTCTACCAATTGGCTCCCTTTTTTTGGGCGGGGTTGGGGGGGGGGTGGGGGGGGTAGTGGGAGTGAAGATATTCAGTCTACTGTGAATTCCCGCTTGTGGATTTGAGATTCAGTTTAAAAGAATGTCAGAAGAAAAAGCAATAAAATGTATCAGCAAGAAAAGAAAAAACAATTTTATAAGCACAAGAGCAGTAGAATATTTATTGGATGAACAATATAATGATTTATGGAGGACTAACATACTGTCAGTTACAATGTCAGAAGGACTATCAAGTCTGACCAAGATGCTAATGTAGTAAGAATGTAAGACGGTAGGATATTAACAAATGATTCTGTACCTGCAAATCTGCAATGGAATATTACTAGTCAGGGTTTTACAACATAAAGTAATTCATCATTAATTTTCAGATGATCCGTATGTCAGTCTGAATTTACTGGGGTTCCTTTCAAGGTAAACTATTTTGTCATGTATTATAACATAAGCCATAATATGTGTGTTAATGCCATGTGTAAATCTCTTTTTGCCTATGTGTAAGATACCAACACATTATACCCACTATGGCCAAAGCTGACTTTTTACAGCTCATTTTACTGTTTTAGGTTCTTTATATGAATAAGAACGAGTCAAATATACGTACAGTAAGAAATATACATACTAAGCCTTGCCCACGTGCCTAGATTCTGAAAACTTGCCATGTCTGCCACCCTTGTCCGTCTCTAAGCAGGACACTAGTATCCAGGTCTAAAAAGCATACATGTTCGTTATAATACCACATCCTTCATCCGACCACAAATGATATCATATGAAGCATTCTAAACTGCTAATGAGGAACGTTAGATAACCACTTTAGCTAAAAACTTAAGCTTATTAGTCATGGATTAACAGCATATACCAAACTAAATAATCTGAAATTCTCTATACATCTTTCTCGAGACTAGATATAGCAAGTTAAAATTTCCAAATGTTTCTCTAGAGATAAGATAAGATGTCTTGGATTTATATCGTTGCCTAACCATTAACTGCATCTAGCAGAAAAGCAAACGCTCGTAAGTGGAAAACCAAAATTTCCTTGAAGTCCAGACAGCATTATTAACATAATATTAGGTTTCTAGATAAGCATCAAAGCAGTGGGTGACGTAAGGAATGAGGCTTTTGCAGAAGTAGGAGTACCAACAAACTCTATCAAATAACAAATATGGTTATCACTTAAATCAAAATCAGTAGATATTCATGATGATTGTTTTACAATCAGGTTAGTTGAATATTTCTAAGTTATGTAGTCAATCATTCATTACGTACATACAACAGAGAACAGCCTCTCATGCAATGGTACCAAAATAAAGCATCTCCAGGTACCACACACATCTGTACTAAAACTGCTTACAAGTATCCGAGAAAACAAGTTAAGTGCACTAAGATTTGCATTAGGATGATAAATGTGAAAATAAATAAGCTACTTATAATATAAAAAAGATCATCTGAAGAGAGTTATACCTGCAGAAGGTCCAATAAGCTGGACTGTTGGTTTTCAATCTGCAACAACTGCCTCCGAATCAAAGATAAATCACCATCCTTATGCTCATCAACAGTACTATCAACTTCAGTAATTACTTCCGAATTTCGAGACTCCAGTGGTAACATTCTCGATCCAGATTTCAACCCACCACCTGAACTCGTTACCTTACCCTCAGAGTTATTCTCAAAGAGCGGTCTCTTTGCTTCAAACTTTGCTCTAGCATTGTTCTCCTTGCATCTCATAAACTTATCTTCACTGACAACAGTGAGCGGAGAGGCATCAGAAACAGCAACCTCCACTTTCCAATCCGAGTTCCTGCTACTATTTACTTTACGAGATGAAGGTGGATGCGTTTTTCTTTCTACAGTCGACGTAATTTTCTTTCTATTGGTAACAATTGGTGAAGCATAGGGAGGGGGAGACCTGCTGTTCTTCCTCACATTAAAAGGAGAAGCAGAACTAACTGAATTTGTTGAAAATCTCCTATCATTTACACTCTCTGTGAAAATCAATAAGATTCTAAACATCAACAGATGCAAGAAAAGAACATTAAACCACAATGTGCTAAAATTAAGCGCATTAATATCACCTCTTTGAGAAGAATCGACCTTCTTCCTCGCTACAGAATCATCGGCATCACCAACAGCAACCACAGTCGGGAATCTGTATGAAGGAGCTCGTGCTTGGCGTTTCTTTATTGCCCGAGGAACTCATGTGCAGTTTACTCTGCCTAATCTGCCACCTAATTGTTCCATTGTAGCAGATTTCCGCAATTGGTTTGATAAAGCTTCTCTGATCCCAGAATATGACATTTATACTTCGATCCGATTCATCGAATCGCGAACAATCTTCACCTGCACCACCAAATCTAACTCAAATCTCTTACACCTTCATCAAAATAGATCTATCAACTCATCTAAAGACCAAGGTTTTACAAACCGAACCTTATCGAACCGCCGCGACTCAAAAGACGAGATGCAGGAGGACTTGATCCCTCCCAACAGATCCCTATCGGTGACCCCAACCCTCGAAAGGGCCTCGGCAGCAGCTTTTCTCGCGGCCCAGTCCTCACTAGCGAGGAACTCCACGCAGGCACAGGCCGACCAGCGCTCTCCGACCAAACCCTCCGGTGGACGCCGCCCCGGCGCCCGCCAGCCGCTGCCCAAGCAGCTCGAGATCAGCCGCGGCTTCCTTGAACGCGTTGCTCCCTTCGCGAGCTTCAGCAGTCCTCGCGCACACGAGCCGCTGAGCTGGTGCGCGAGGCCGCGAGTCGGGGTCGGGGTCGGCGGCGGAGCGGCGTCGACCGGCGGGCGAGGCGTAGAGGGGGAAGCTCCGGCGCCAGACTGGGCCGTGCTGCTCCTGCTCGGGAGGCAGGCGCGTCGGAGATGGGGGCGGGAGGAGCGAGGCCAGGAGACGGCTGGGCGGGGTTCGCGATGGCGGCGAAGGGTCGACGCGCGAGCGTCGACGACCTGCGGATCTGACGGAGGAGCGGGGCTCTCGAGCCGGCGGAGGGCGCGGCAGCGCAGAGCGAGGGGGGAGGAGGGCGAGGAGGAGCGGGGGATCGGGTGGGAGCGGCGAGAGGAGGGAGATGAGGCGGAGGGAGTGGCGGCGGCAGGGGGGTTCTTGTCGGGTGGAGGCTGCGTGTCGGCAGATGGCCTGAGATAAAACGGTCCGCGAGTATGAGTCGGCGGGATAGATCTGGCGATGGACTCGCAGCCTCCTGGACGCCATCGGCCTCGGTGTCGCCGGTCCGAGAGCTCTGATCATGCCAGCGGCTTCACCCGGCCTGCCTTTCCACAGTCCTCGCGGCTTCCCACTCGACATTGCGTGATGCGACTTTCAGGGGGTCGTTGGAGTTGGTTTTTAGTACATTGGTTTTTGGTCTGGTGGGGTTCACGGTGCAATGCGGTGGGTCGATGATATTCGGAAGAAGCAAAGCCGAGGGGAGGAGGAAAAAGAGGAGAGGATTTCCTACTTGTACGTCAGAGTGGGAGCGGTTTTTACAGATCAACCACCATCATTTAAAAAAAAAAAAAAACATTTTTTATATTTTATTATTTTCCCTTCATTCAGATTTCAGATGATTGTAAGCGGCGGAGTTATGCAAAGGGTGTCCTTCGTTGGGTTTTTAATTTGATTCCTGTTAAGGGGGGAAGAGAGCGATGGAAGGGACGAAGTCACGAAGGTGACAGGGAGGGCGATCCAGATCCCTACTTAAATTATTTTTTTTAAAAATAATAATGATTTTAGCCATTATTGTATTTATTATGCTTGTTAATTATTGCACATGAATGAACCTGAGACGATTACAGAGGGTTAAAAAGGTAGACAGCGTAAATTTTAGCATTTTTACTTGATGTTAGGTTTTTGAATTGATTCCACCCCCTATCCGTAACTGATGAGGAGCGGCTGCATCTGGGCATTATAAGAAAAAAATTTCTAAATAAACCCATTTGTATATTTTTTTAAAAAATCCACCCTCTTGAGTTTTTTCTTATAAAATTCTACGCACTTTCTCGTCACGTCAACATCGTGACGAGAAAGTTGGTCAATTTTTTTTAATCCGATTTCTAAATAGTTCGGGTTGTTAACCCCGACTATTTAGAAGGTTGTAAAACCCTAATTACAATTCTAAACCCTAACATTCTATGCACTAAATAGTCGGGGTTGACAACCCGACTATTTAGGAACCAGATTAAAAAAATGAGTCGATTTTTGTAAAAAAAAACTCAATGGGGTCGATTTTTAAAAAAAAATGTGAATGAGTTTGTTTAGAAAATTTCCCCTTGTTATAAATATCTGGTATGGCTACCGGTACTATGATCTCACCATAGAATATAGATTATTTTAATAAAAACGTTTTAGACATCACAAATTGATATGTGCCATGCTGGTAAACGTAGCCATGTAGGTACCGTTTGGTAAATGGTTAAGTGAGGGGTTAAGGAGACTTAACCCCTTTTAACCCGCCAAACACAAAAAATCCATACAAGGGTTAAAGTGAGTTAACCCTTCATAATTTGCCAAATATAAAAAATATAGAAGGGTTAAGCTAACCCCTCTAGAGGGATTAAAATGAGTTAACCCCTCAAAATAAGGGGTTTACTAATACTCCTATTTAGAAGGATTAAGAGTTAACCCTTCTAATTATAAAGAAAATAGTCAAAATCATTGTTATTCCCAAACACTACAAATGATCATAAGGGTTAAAATAAAACTTTTATAACGAGTTAATAATTTAGTCATTCATAGATTATCGAATGAGTTAACTATGTTAATTTTTCTCCTTAATCCCTCTTCCTTAACCCTTTGCCAAACGGGGCAGTAAGAGACAAAAGGTTTAACTCTGTTAATAAACTGAATTTGATTTGCAATTATATATCGTTGTGATGCGGTAATCAAAAAAACAAAAGAAAGATAATCAAGATCTGTCTCGTGTGATTTGAAATGATCTATATTTAAACTAGATACTGGTCTAATCATACGTTCGATATCGTGTCGATTAGTGAAGTATGAGAATTGATCGCAAAGGAAAGTTTGACGTTAAAAATATGAAAGTGATGCGTGTATAATTTACGGAAAAAAACTAGATAAGATGGATTACACTGGCTCTTCTTAATGGATAACCTATGTTCTTAAAAGTATTACCAAACAATGTGATGAATAATAGAATGAGATTTTCTAGTAGTTACTTAGTTAACAAATGGTTTTTTTTTAAAATAATAGTCCTAGAAATCTTTCATTTTTTTTATATAGCCACACCGTATCTCCATATTTTGAAATTAGTACCCCAAAATCTTCATATTTTGAAAGCAATCCCCCAAATCCATCAAGTATTTTGAAACTAGTCCCCTAAAATTGGTGCTGACTAGAGGGACCAATTTCAAAATACTTATAAGATTTAGGGAACTAGTTTTAAAAGATAAAGCTTCGGAGACTAATATCAAAATACTTAAAATTCAGGGGACTAATTTCAGAATATGAAGATCTGGAGTACTAATATCAAAATATGAAATTTTTGGGGGACTGCTTTTTTAAAAAATCCTTAACAAATCTACGCCAATCGATGTCTTAAGGGTCTGTTTGGCAACTTCACAAACTTGTTTTAGATGATATGATATCGAACCAAAACATTGTGTTCGATTTGGTAAAAGTTGGGCCAAATTTAATTTAGTTCTTTTTAGTTCAGACCTAATCCATAAACTAGTTCTTTTGTGAACAATTCATGTGTGATTCAACTTTGTCATTGTTAATATAAAATCGGTCTAGCCAGTTCCGTTTTGAAGTTGTCAAAACACACCCTAAAATTCTAAACAACAAACATTAATCATTTAACATGGTAAAAAAAATAGAGAAAGAAGTAAATTATAAACATCTCATTCTCAAGGGTCACGATACCTTTCTCCTTGTTTTCCCGCTTGTCTTGATGCTCGTGTTACAATTTCACAACCATCAAGAATAAAAAGATAAAGAAATAGAGATATGACATCAATTACTACTTTCCCCGAAAATGTCACACTATTTGCCGACCGGCGATCGTAGTACGCGTAGTTTTACTCTCACCAACAAAAACTAACATTTTCATTTTTACATCCAAAGAATTTTGTAGCTAAGGGGCTGTTTGGATGACTTTAGGAAACTAGAGTATTTATGACACAAAATAGAAAGTGGTTATCCACCTCATCATTTTCCATTCGAGTGTTTACATTGTTTGGTTATGAATCTTTGTGAATCCTAAAATAATAGTATTACATTGTTTGGATAGTATAATGTAAACTAGAGTATTTATGACACAAAATGGAAAGTGGTTATCCACCTCACCACTTTCTATAAGTTTTTGATTTTTTTTATTATTATTTTGGACACATTTATGACATTGTGTTAGCTTTCCAACAAAATCACTCCTAATTTTGGTGATTTTGCTTTCGGTGACAACTCATCAAAAGATGTAAGCTTTTCATGTAAAAGAGAATTTGAACAAACAATGTAAAGTGATGAAAGCTGACATTGGGACCCACATTTTTACACTTTCCATCCGAGAATTTGAACAAACAATGTAAAGTGATGAAAGCTGACATTGGGACCCACATTTTTACACTTTCCATCCTTTTACATAGCAAAAACATACAACCAAATGAAAGCTGACATTGGGACCCACATTTTTACACTTTCCATCCTTTTACATAGCAAAAACATACAACCAAACATCCCCTAAATTTCTTGCCGACTCTAATGACTACTGGCCCAAGGATGGTACCATCAACTCACACCTCGACTCAAATTAATGAACACGGGGTGCGTCTTGTGCTCGGATAAATCTCATGGTTCTCGTGCGCACCGCAATTTGGTCGTGGTACATCTCGCAGAAAGATATCGTGACCGCGACTTCGAATCGTTCGTCCGTCGTGGTCCGAGTCGATATCGGTTTGGAGACTTAAGGTCAGCACCAAGAAAGGTGGGCCCGGCTCATTGTGGCCACAGCATCATCGTTAATGAGTCGGTAGATTTTCTCGTGATATAAAGACTATAACCTTTTGTTTTCTTATTTTATTTTTATTTTTATTTAAGCAAGCTGATGGAGTCATACCAACTTATATTAATCTTTGTGTGTTTTGTACTCAGAGTCTGAATTATTGCTTAATTGAATATTGTTATTCCTTTATGTACTGTGAATAGAAAGTTTTTGAAAAATTGTTACATTTCGAAAAGATTTGAGAGACTAGCTAATTTTAAAATATGAAGATTTGAAGGATTAATTTAAAACACTTAAAGGTTTGACCGTTTGAGCGACTAATTTCTCAATATTAATATGAAAGGTTGGGGACTAATATCGGGAAAACCCTACAGAATAGTGTTAGATCACTTATTATTGTTGGATTTGAGATGCAAGCCTCTAGAGGGGAGGGGGAGGGGTGATAATAGGTTGGTTATAGTTTTTCGCTAAAACACATAATATGCAGTGGAAATATAGAAAAATAAAAGCGAACAACCAATCTAAAAACCAATCAAAGAAGACGCGAGATCTTCATAGTGGTTCGAATGGCATTCCTATGTCCACTCTTTCTTCTCACAAAGGAGATTCCTAACTATGACTAGAGTTCACCTCAATCACAACCCGATTTAGTAGACTTACAAAGACCGCTACCTTGGAATCTACCTAAAACCAGTGGTCTAACTTAACTTCTGACAAATGAGTAATACCTACCCTAGCTAGTCCCAACCCTCAATTATCATCGGCTTGAGTATGCCGTGAAAATAAGTTTGAAACAAACTACCAAAAATAACTTAAGCACAAAAACAAAAAGATCTTATAGCCCTATGTATAAGCAAATGGTTCTTCAATAGATTAAAATGAAGCTCGACGAAGAACGATATAGATCTTGATTCTAAGGGCAACTCCTCTCACTAAGATGATCCGATGTTGTCAAGCTCGACGAGAAAGAGTTTGTTAAGGCTTTGGGGGTTCAAATCGCAAATCAATCATCTTCTCTTAGACCTTAAAATTTTCTCTCTTAAAGCTCTCTTTTATCAAAGCATAGAACCTCCTCAAAATATGATATCTTTCTATCTTATATAGCCTTTGATAGATAGGAAAAGAGATATTGAAATCACAGTAGAAGTTAGGGATGAAAGAGGTTAACAAATGGATCTAATTAACTCTTGAAATCCACTAAAACACGTTATTACCATAGATGGGCAATCTCCACCATCGATGGTTCCCTAAGCACCGTGATGGTTACTTGTAGAGCATCGATTACTTGATTTTGAGTTTCTAAAAATCTACAATTGTTCAATGTATACTATCAACGGTTTCCCGTAGCCCATCAATGGTTCAATTTTAATTTTCTATAATTTCTTTGATTTTTCTTTGTAGGTCATCAATGAGCCTTGACCATCGATGATTCAAAGGATCATCAATGGTTCCAAGACTGAAATCAATGTAAGTGCTGATTTTCGCATCGTTTCACCTGGTAGTCTCCGTATACCTATTCTCATATGTACTATATCATCTCAAATAAATATTAGTAGTAAATGAGAATTTATTATTACTCAAATAAGAGCTATTGTATGGACTTCGTCCTAACAATCATATCCTAATAAATGCTAGATCCACGTATAATGGATGTCTCCATTATAATATTAGTTGTGGAATATCTAAATTAATATCTTGCTGCTTTCCATATGTGTGAGAGAACTGAAATTTCAAATGTTAATCCAAATAAGTCTTAAAGAAGGAAGAAAAATATTTTGCCTGGTTCAATTTTCTTTTAACATGGGATGTTTTTAATTTTCACAATAATAAATTTAGTATATATTCATATTAGTGTTCCAGACATGAAGACTATATTTATATTGGTGTTCCGGAGACTTATTGGTTTATTCTTCTTGTTCTTCTCCTTTTTAGTTGGGCAACTCAACCATGAATCAAATCCAATATCATGGACCATAGACGTCAAATTGGAACCTTCCAACCGCCTCAATCACTCACTGTGATCGATCTTGTATACATTTTCAAATTTCTCATAAAACTACTTTGCAAAAAAAAAAAAAATTCCCTACCGACTCACGCGTTATGACAATACGCTTTCTGTGGGCGATCGAATACCCAATTATGAGCGGATCTTGGCTAAAGGATTTTGGAGATGGGTCAAACTTAGAAGTATATGCAAATATTAATGTCGAAGACAGTGAATTTGATGGCACATTGTTGCATTGCGTAAACCAAACAAAACTTCAATAGGACCATTGCACATTGCACCCGTGCATGGATTACTAGTAGTCACATGCTACCAATTGTAACATTACAAAATTACTAGTATAAGATATGTGTCCTTTTTTCTTGCTAAACTATGATGTATGATATAATTGTATAGTATACATGATCACTAATCATCAATGAGCGCTTTTGCATTGCTTGAAAGTCACTTGTTATCATGTCATAGGAGATGTACTAATGTATAATAAAAGATATTATAGATTATTAACATATATTTAAAGATCTAACATGTTCGGAGCTATTAGTTTTTTTACTTTTGAGTTCTAAGTATGCCTCCAACTATGATGGGTGAAAAAGAAAATTGTGTTTCGAACTTGGAAAATGATAGGGGCACACCTCCAACCACACCTCCAACCACAACCCCCCTCTCTCATTTGCTACAGTATACCGGGTCCCATATGAGATTTTAAAATTTTAAAATCTCATGTGGGGCCCGGTGCACTATAGCAAATGAGAGAGGATGTGTGGTTGGAGGTGTGGTTGAAGGTGTGCCCCTAGTGCCACTCTTCGAACTTACATAAATCTGTACCATAAGAGGAATGCAAGACACGAAAATGCACGTGCTCCATGAGCGTACACCACACCAATAAAAAAAGGCTGCGTGGCCCCAGAAAAAAATATTTATTTCTATCACCTTCTCATTCATAAATGATTTGTACCACATAGCCTTTTTTTATTGATGTGGTGTATTACTTATGTAGTACCTAAGAATTTTTCAAAAATGTATAATCTGAGTAGTCTCATAATCTATGGTACGGTAGCAATTCATGAGGAAACAAAAATTATTTACAAAGCATTGGCTTTGGAAAATGAATCAAATGAGTATACTCCATTGCTCATATATGAAAAATGACTAAAGTGGAGAGAGGGGTAGAGGTTATTCTCCTGGGTCCATTTGTTTGCACAGAAGTAATTATGAATTAAGTAGCTGAAGTAAATGAAGTAGATGCTATTTCTGCTACTTTCAAACAAAAAATATGTTTGTTTCTCCGAAAAACTTATTTTCAATATTTTTTTAAACGTTGATGTGACGGCTACATGTCATCCTTACTTCCAAAATAATTTTCCACCCCTCAAGGGTCGGAAGTAATTCTGAAGTAAGTGAAATGCATATTAATTAGGAAATAACTAATTTTTCTTATTAATATTTCTTTTATTAGTTACTTCCTAATAGCTTTTTATTTCTATCACCTTCTCATTCATAAATGATTTGTGCCACATAGCCTTTTTTTATTGATGTGGTGTATTACTTATGTAGTACCTAAGAATTTTTCAAAAATGTATAATCTGAGTAGTCTCATAATCTATGGTACGGTAGCAATTCATGAGGAAACAAAAATTATTTACAAAGCATTGGCTTTGGAAAATGAATCAAATGAGTATACTCCAGTGCTCATATATGAAAAATGACTAAAGTGGAGAGAGGGGTAGAGGTTCTTCTCCTGGGTCTATTTGTTTGCACATAAGTAATTATGAATTAAGTAGCTGAAGTAAATGAAGTAGATGTTATTTCTGTTACTTCCAAGCAAAAAGATATGTTTGTTTCTCCGAAAAACTTATTTCCAATACTTTTTTAAACGCTAATCGATGTGACGCTTACGTGTCATCCTTACTTCCAAAATATTTTTCCACCCCTGAAGGCCCGGAAGCAATTCTGAAGTAAGTGAAATGCATATTAATAAGGAAATAACTAATTTTTCTTATTAATATTTCTTTTATTAGTTACTTCCTAGCTAATAGCTTTTTATTTCTATCCAAATAAAAAAAATAGATTGAAGAATAAGAATTACTATTCCCACTACTTTAAAAAATATGTGAAACAAAAAAAAAAATACTACTTCCACTAGTTCCTACTTCATAAATTTACAACTTAATTACTTCTTTGATCTATTTTCTACTTCCGATATTTCCGCCAAACCAAACGGGCCCTAAGGACAGTTCAATCATTTCTCACCTCCAGATAAAAGCTTAGGCAAAGTTTTAAGTTTAGGGGTTACATCGACACCCGAAGTCCGAAGTGTTGAGTGAAATAAATAAGGTTCAGATAAGTTTTCCAGAAAGAAAAAAAAAACCCCAAAGCGCAAGAGGATTTATTGAAATTTGCCCAATAAATAACTATTGGACTATTTGGTAATTATTCCACAAAGATGCATCCCTTACATATGGCATCACCCATCATTAAGAGATATTACAATTGTACTACAAAAAAAAAAAAAAACATTTGTCACATATCTAGTTCGTATGTGCTCCCAAAGTCCATAACATGTGATTTCTCCCATATAGAGGTGCATGAACACATGAGAGCCACTCTCCCTAGATTCATTGCTTGGACTCGCCTGACAGCATTCTCCCATGCCATCCTCACTCCTCAACGTGCATGTGCCCCAAAAGTAACTCCTCCCACATCCTTTTCCTTTTATATTTCTTGACTTCTTGTTTATTTTGTATTTTTCTTGTACATTAATGAGCGGTGCTTATCCGAGATCCCAAATATTGGTCGGATATCTTAATCAGGATAAAAAGAAAAACAGAGTAGCACCTCTTAATTTGTTTCACTGAGCTAAGCCTACTTTTACTTTAACTCAATTCATTGAAGGTACCCAGGTCACGTGCCTTGCACTTTAAGGCAGAAATGTTGTGTGTGAGAGAGAGGGTCATTTTCTTTTTGAGCCTTTTTCATCTCACTAGCTCCTCAAAATCTTGCGATCGAGTGGCTTGCTCTTTTGAGTCTTTTCCATGCCACTCAAACCTAAAATTTTAACAACTTAAATCTAGGGGCACATGACAATTCAACACCACAAATTTCTCTATTTTGGCACTTATACACCTTGCCTTGTTTTCGGTGACACCTAAATAGCTTAGGTTCATGAATGCGGCACGATGATACCTTTAATTAGTCACATGTGAATTCTAGAGAATGTTTCCATGTGGTTATCACATGACAAATTTAAATACTCTTTAACCTCATTGATGACTATATTTACTGTATCGATCTATCTACCCCCGAGCAATTTAAGGGAATGGTATTATCATCATCCCGTCATAATAAAATTAACATTGTTATCAGGATTCAAACCGCAAAAACATTGTGGTATTTAAGAGTCGAGAAAAACAAGTTATGGTATCTAAGTGCCTCAAAACGGGAAAACTTTATGGTATTTAAATGTAATTTAGCTTAAATCTAGATTTAGAATCATTTACATAGGATAACATTTTTGTGTTACTTTAGGATCTGTTTGGGACTTCTCTCTAACTTAATTTCGGTGTAAGCTAGCTTAGTTCTGGAACAAGGTGGCGGCAGATCAAACCGGAAGTAGGTTAAGATCGAACTGGGCCTCACAAAACTTGTTTCAGTTTAGGTCCTTTTTTTTTTTTTTGCCCCTAATTAGGTTCAGAGCTTAAACTGATTTTGTTCCTCTAACACAGTTTAACTTGGGAATTATTAGACATGCCCTTAGTTTGTGTTTCAAGGAGCCTGAATTGTTGATGGTTATGATCTTTCGCAAGTGAAAAACAATAACCATATTAATTCCAACTTATGTTTGTTACCGCATTGATTAGAGAAACTTAGATTATGACTTATTGAATAATTAATAAATATTTTCTGCCCATTTCCACCTAGATGATTAAAGATTATAACTTTATGCTCTAATATTCCATCACAAGTTGGGGGTTCTTTTTCATGAGGTAAAATATGTGATATCTTACGCTAATATTGTTTTCATTAGATTCGTTTTAAATCCGCGTCTAATAAGATTAAACCTAAATATATTGTTATGATAAAATCTTAAAATCCCTTCCTCTTCATTGTTGATGGTTGAAAGTCATAATTTATTACACTACGAAAATTTCAAATATTCAGATAATATTGATCCCCTTGGGTGGTCGCTCATGTGGGATGCTGGTTCTCTATCCTTGGTCTCAGATGGTTGG